GAGAATCTGAGCAAAGGCGTGGGCGACACCTGCAGCGACGTGGTCAAGACCAAGGCGGACAAGGAGCAGCAGAAGAAGGAGAAGACGGCGGAGGCCCAGGCCCTGGAGGGACAGTGCAACAAGCTGGACGCCTCGGTCAAACAGCTGCAGGGGGAGAGGAACCAGCTGGAGACGGACATCCAGGACAAGAACAAGGAGCTGCAGGGCCTCATCAGCAGCATCGGGGATCGGGACCGCAAGTTCGGCATCGTGGCGGCCGTGGTGCCCATCCTGGGCAACATGATCAACGCCATCCAGAAGGCCACCAACAACCCCAAGGACAAGGCGGCCGTGGAGACCCTCAAGGTCCAGCTGGAGGAGCTGCGCAGCCGCAAGGACGCCAAGGTGTCGGAGATGTGGCAGAAGGAGAAGGAGCTGATCCGGCTGCAGCTGGACTACGCCAAGGTCCAGATCGACATGGGTAGGCGGGATCATGGGGCCTCTGGGACGTGTTTTGTGTGGGGTGTTGGCCTCAACAACGTGGCTGGACGGCTTGCTCCACACCCCTACCACCCTTTGTGTGAAGGAGCCGCTCCTGTCCTGACTGAAGTCCCGCTCTCGGCTTCAAGCCCATAGCAAAGTCAGGATTTAGGGAAATGCGTTTTTATTTTTTACGTGATTGTTTGCTTTTAACAGACCTGAGCTGTCGCCAGAGTTGAAACCGGTAGGCGGGCGGGCTGCCGGACCGTGGGGGGCTGCTGGGACGAGGCTTGTCCGCCGGGGTGAGGCCATGGCCTCGGCAACCCCGATTCCCACCGGCAGCTCAGGACAGGCCTGTCCCGGTCCGGCAGCTCGGTGCACGAAAACGTCCTGTTTGTAACCTCCAGGCTCGGCTGGCAGATCAGTAACTGACTGGGAAGCAGATCTCAGCCAGCTGCGTGTCGACCCAATTCTGGGTGTCGGCTTCAGCCGCATGGCTGGCCAGGGTGTTCCCCACTCCCCCCACCCTTTGTGTACAGAAGACCCCCCTGTCCTGCCTGGAGGAGCTCACCCAGCTGTGTCTGGAGAGGAGCCGGGGTATCGGCTTCAACTACAGGGCTAGGCAGCTTGTTCCCCACCCCCACCACCCTCTGTGTACAGAAGAGCCTCTTGGGTTTTATCTGCACCCCTGCAGAGTTCTTCACTTTTCAAGGGATGGTTTTATCCCCCAGGTAGCAACAAATCAAGATGAACGATAACTCTGCAAAGGCTAATTAAATGTAACTTTCTCTGCAGTGAGCTTCAAAAGCCTCAGCACTACTCCTGTCCGTAGTTAACCAGAGACATCTGCCTTTTGATCCAGCCTCTCCAACGACTCCCGTTTTCCTCCCCTGCCTCTCAGGATCCATTGGCGACCCCAAGATGCTGGCGGAGGTCCAGAAGTGCCTGACCAAGATCCAGGAGATCCTGCTGCAGATGAAGAAGTTCTGGGAGATGACCGGCGTGGCGCTGGACAACCTCAAGCAGAGGACCTTCGCCGGAGAGGACATGCTGGACTTCCTGGAGGACTGCGAGATGGACTTCCTGTCCAGCCTGGATAAGGCCGAGCCGGTCAGTTGGTTTTTCCGCTCGATTCTGGTAGATCGATCTCAGGGGTGGGGGTGGACAGAGCTGTCCTGCTCGCCATCTCTCTCGGTCGGGTTGAACTTCTCTGATCTGGTACCTGCTGGCCCCGGATCTTTGTCCTGGACACCCCCAGGCACTTCGACTTGTCCAGAAATTGTACTGCAGCACCAACAATCCTACGGGCAGCCCCTGAGCCGCTGAGGCGCTGATGTTACTGTGGCTCCTGACTGGTGCGGCGCTTGTCCTGGGTGGTGTCTGTTCTGTCGCCCTGTCAGGTGGAGATAAGAGAAACGAGAGTGAAAAGTGTAGCCTACGGCGATAGCTCCGAGATTGAAGAGCAAGGTGGGAGGTTTCACAGGGGACGCAGGCGATCGGGAGATGTGGCTGTGGATGGGGGGGGGGGGGGTAGTTTATGTGCTAAACATCCAGACGGCCCCCGGTGCCTTCTGGGATAGAATTCGGTCAGACCCTTTCACGGGTCAGGGATGATCCTGTGGGTGGTTCGTCGTCGCTGCAGGGGTTTGCGAGACACGCGGACCGCCTCCCAAATGCCTTCTGGGATAGAGGTCCCCCCCCCCCTCTCTGTGCTCATTAACAATCCCAGGGCGTTTCTCGAAAAGAGTAGGGGTGTAACCCCGGCGTCCTGGTCAAATTTCCCATTGGCCCTTACCAATCATGGCCTCCTAATAACCCCCCTCTCTGAACTGGCTCCATCCCTCTGCTCTCCTCCCCACTGAGAGCTGCTGTGTGGGGAGCGTTCTGGCGCACTATGGCTGCCGTCGCCTCATCCAGGGTGGGGGCTGCACACTGGTGGCGGTAGTGGGATTCCCCCTGACCTGTCAAGCGCTGTGAGTGGAGGGTCCAGAAAAGCGCTCTACAAGTGCAAGCAATTCTTAATCATTATGATAAGACCCGCCACTATTTATCCCGTACCGCGCGGGTCGTCTAACTGGGGAACTGGAGTCGCGCGGCTCAGACGGCAGGATCGCTCTCGTTTCCCGCCTCACGTCTGCGCTCCTCCTCCTCCCCCTTCCCCGCAGATCTGGAGGAGCTTCTGCAACGTCTGCATGCACGTCCGCGGGATGTTCATCCTGCAGTCCAAGGAGGCCTACAGGTTCCTGGAGGTCAGCCCCTCGGCCCTGAGCAAGGAGCAGTGGCAGCAGGAGTACGACGGCGTGGTGGCGCAGCTCGACAAGCTGAACCCCCCCGCCCCCCAGGAGGCCGGGAAGGCGGTCGAGGGGCCGAAGTAGGGGGAGGGGGCTGCTGGGATACCGACCGCTCTGAAGGGGCTCCGGCGATGCTGTTCACACGCAATAAAAGGTCGATCGGCACCTCTTGTTTAGTGGCTTTTTTTTCCCCCGCCGTGATTATCCGTACCGGGGGGGGGGCCCAGCTTTCAATCCCTCGCCCGTCAGCGGTCGTGTGGCGCGAGAGGGCGCGGGGCTCTGGCAAAGATGGCGGCTCGCGTCGGGAACTACATTTCCCAGAAGGCATTGGGGGGGTGACCCTCGCCATCCTCCGTCACCTGACCGATTTGGAGGCAGACCATTGGTCAGGTGACTGCCTCAAGCCAGGAAGCTGAGGACTCCGGGTCCGCTGTCTTCCCGCTGGCTGTGCCTCAGTCATACAGCGCGGCACGGTGCCTTACAGCACTGCGGCCCCGCGTTGGACCCCTGGAGTGCTCTGTCTGTGTGGAGTTTGCACGTTCTCCCTGTGTCCATGTGGGTTTAACCCCCCCATATTCCAGAGACATGCTGGTGGGTTCACTGGCTTATAGGAAAACTGGCCTTAGTCTTTTTCTACATTTCTCTACAATCTCACGGTGTTGTGCTGCCTGCACAGTAGTGGTAGAAACCACGAAGTTAACTCTTCCGCTCGGCTTTAATTAAGACCTCTGTCCGCTAATTGGACACCCTGCCATCCCGATGCTCAGGGCATGAACACGAGTCCTCACCCCCAGCTGCTTGTGAAACACAGGAGGAGGGAGGAGGCTGGTTCTCTTTCGTCTGGA